TGCTTAACCACGGGAATCACTGCTCCGTGAGCGAAGATTGGGTACCGCGACATTGATTTCTTCGTAAATGCCAATGCAGCACATTCTGCTACTGAAAGTTCCAGGCCCTGACGACGTAAGTACTTAGATGTTATTGATGTGCCTTGTTGTAGCCTTGCTCGCAGTTGTGGTCACGTTGCTCCAGATGCCCATATGCATATGTCGTCCGCATACGCACTGATTCTGACAACGTCGGGAAGCTCAGCTTCAAGGCCAATGAGTGTTATGTTAAAAAGCATGGGGCTCAGGACGGCGCCTTGCGGAACTCCACGGCTTACGAGGGGCCTGGCCGTGTCACCGTCGGATGTCGACATAAAAATGGTACGTCCTCTGAGATAGCTCCCTATCCATGCGTGTAGTCGGCCACCTACGCCGATGTCTTCAAGTGCGTCAAGAATGGCCTCATGGTAGACGCTATCGTACGCGCCCTTTATATCTAAGAAAATGGCGCCTACCAATCTCCGACGTTGTCTTTCCTTTTCAACAGAAGAAACTAGATCTACAACACCATCTATAGATGATCGACCTCTACGGAAGCCATGTATAAAATCTGGTAAGCCGACATTATTCTCCAGCAGCCATTCCAATCTTGCCAGCACCATGCGTTCCATCACCTTATACCGATGCAACTGGCTAGGGCAATGGGTCTATAAGAAGACAACTCGTGTGAACACTTGCCTGATTTCAGTAAGGCCACTATGCGGCTGCACTTCCAACTCTCTGGTACTGTCGCTGTTTCCCACGTAGAGTTGTAGAACGACAAGAGAGCCTGCCTTGCTTCCTGGCTGAGGTGATATAGAGCCGAATAAGTAATTCCGTCCGGCCCTGGTGCGGACGACCGTCGGGACGTAGAAATCGCAGCGTCGAGTTCGTGCATTGTGAATGGCAAGTCGAGGCGATCGTCGCTGGATGGCGGTGAGGCTAAATACGAAGGTGATATCGATGAGGAGGACATACCTACGAGTAAGTGGCAGTAATCTTCTGCAACCTCTACTTCAGGCAGGTCGACTTTGCTTTAGAGCCAAAGATCGGAAAGGGAACAACTGTTGAGTGGGCGTCTGAAGGGTTCGGACAGTTAATTTGCCATATTCGAGACAGGGGTTTTCCGGGATCAAGGGAGCTACAAAATACCCTCCACCGTTGCCTATCAAGCTTATCGAGGTGTCGCAATACATGTCGTTGTGCTTGGTGTGCTGTAGATAAGTCAGCTGGTGATTTCGTCCTCCTGTATTTTCTCTCTGCCCGGCGACGAATTGCACGAAGGTATTCATATTGTGCGTCAAGTTGTGATCTTGGTAGCGACACATTCACAAGTTTCGTATGCGTTGTTAAGGCTGATGCAATTAGGCTTTCTATTTCAAATATAGATTGAATGTTCCCGCAGTGAGCATTTACAGAAGCGTGGAATCCTGGCCAGTCTACGCTGCGTTTCACAGGCCGGGGAGACGAACGATGGAAACCTTTTAGCTGTATATATGTAGGGAGATGGTCACTTCCATGTGTTTCAACGTCTACAAACCAACAGGTGGTAGGCAAGAGACTTCTGCTCACAAAACATACGTCTAGACAGCTGCTGTACGATGCGCCACGGAGGTAAGTAGGTGAGCCATCGTTAATGGACATAAGGCCTCGATTGAGCACAAAATCGGCAATGTCCCTGCCGCGGGTGTTCATTGACGCAGAACCCCACATGGGATGATGTGCATTAAAATCCCCAACTAATACATGTGGTCCAGGGCAAGCTTGGAGAACAGACAAGAGATGGGGACAGTCCACGTGGCTTCTAGGAGGAATGTATCCACCAATGATTGATATTGAACGTCGCTTGTGCTTTATAGATAGGCAAATATAGTCGTTAGAAGCATGAGGAGCCACGGCATGTCTCACGTACGTTAAATCTTGACGTACGCATATAATTACTTTGCTCGCATTTCGATCATCACGTGACCACAAAGTGAAGTATCCGGAAATACGAAACGACGACATCATATTCGGCTCGCATATTACAACCAACGGAAATTTGTATTTAAACATCCGTTGTCGAAAGTCAGACAATCGGCTTCGCAAACCCCGTGCGTTCCACTGCATTATGGCAGAGGTGCGCACACGTTCATCGAAGAAATTCGCCATATTGTTTATGGAAGGGTCAGCAGTAGCGGTTCCAGCACGTTGAGGATCTGCACTGCTGTTTTCGCTCCTGGTGTGTGTAGCTCGTTGAGAATCGCACGAATAGATTTTATTAGATGCTTCAGCATAGTTTGGCTCTTCTCAGTGTCTTGCGTATCATTTTACGCCCTCTTTGAAGTTGCAGCCCATGATGTGGTCTTTTTTATTGCTCCAGTCGGTAGCGAAGGCCACTCAGTATCTGAAGCATCGGCGTGCAACGCGGGCGTTGGTCCACTTTCTGCATCCCTGGGACGTGGTGCATACAACATGGGTGTAGCGGCCTGATAATGCGTACGCGTATGTTCATCTGTTGCTGATGGTGATGCATCACTCCTATGTCCACTATGCTTTCGCTGGTGCCTACGTTTTGGACGACTTCTGTGTCGGCGGATGGACGTGACTGCCTCTCTGTGTGTCGAGTTGTCTCTGACTATCTTCCGCAGGACGCGAATTTCTTCTTTGATCTTCGGGCACTCCTTCGACGTTGCTTCATGTGCACCAGAGCAGTTTGGGGATTTCAATGGAACAGCAGTATCGCAGTTTTCCACCTTATGAGACCCGCCGCACCGCTGGCAAGTTGTCTAACTTTTGCACACTGCGCTGACGTGTCCCAACTTGCAGCACTTGTGACACTGCAAAGGCCGTGGCACGTAAGGGTGCACGGGATGTCTCACGTATCCAACCTTCACGCTTGGGGGCAGAGTCTCAGAGTCAAATACTAGTTTGATGCAGCGAGACTGCCCGAAGCGGCGTATGGTCACGATTTTGACTGTCGACGTCACAAGATTCTGCAGGTCAGCGTCTGTGATGTCAGCGTCGACGTCATTTATCACGCCAGTCGTTGTTCCTTTCCCGTGAGCGAGAAACGCGCGAACTGAAATACTTCCGAGCTGCGTGACGGCCTTCAGTTTGTCAAGAATGGTTTTGTTTGTCACATCAACTGACAATATGTTTTTCCTGCTATTTATGCGAATTTCATTCACTTGAGCAGGTGCAATTCGCTCGAAATAATTAGTCAATGACTGCCTGTTTAGTGAGTTCAGGTTGTCTGATGTATACATTGGTACATACGAGATGGTGAAACATCGCTTGCCTTTGTCTAGCGCCGGTTGTGGCTCCGCCGTTGATGACGTCCTGCGAAGCTTCCTTTTCAACCGGCGGGTATGGAATGTCCTGAAGTCGGCTTCCGATTCCATCTCTTCCACGGATGAGCTCTCGGTAGAATCATCACAAAGAGCAGATGCGCCAACGCGGTCACCCACATTCGGTCCATCCTTATGCAAACGGCTAGGGCCCGCTGTCTCGTTGGATGGATGTTCCCCCATCCCGGGGGGTGACGTCTTCCGTTCCGCTTGTTCAGAGAAAGTCAGGAATTTTGACAGCTTAAGAAAAAAACGATTGTTGTTCAAGGCAGAATTATCATATATGTTATATCATATATATGTTATATATATATATATATATATATATATATATATATATATATATATATATATATATATATATATATATGTTATATGTTATATCTGTTTTCATATGCGCTGTGAAGTGATACGCGTTTTATAAGTGATCATTGCACTTCTATGTTTCGCTGATGCAAAACTTGTTTCACATGACCTACATCTAACCTGACACGACGCGATCTAATTAACTTCACTGTGACAGCTTACAAACATGAGGGTGTTTTAAATATTTTGTACTTTTATTACGGATACGTGCTGGAAGTCAGTATGAGTGTTGCATCACTTTTATGCTGTGGTGATATTGAATTAAGCTGTTCTGAATGTTTCTCACGTACATCCCTGCTGCCCTTATTTTTTTCACGAGTTGAGATGTAGGCCTAAGTCCGAAAACACTTCCGTCTGTTTCGTTTCGCCTCATCTCTGTGACGTGTATAACTGTCATAAATGCCGAAATAAAGAGTAATATTCCAATATAGTCCACTCTTGTCGGCCAATAAAGGGTTAGAAAAGGTCCCTGAAAGAGCGGGCCTAAATGGATCAATACAATTAACGAAACAAAAAATAGATTTATCGTTCCAGACTCTTGGGCAAGTTCACAACGAACCATATGGATTCTCGTATTTTGAGTTTCTGTTCACTTAAGTGCCTTTTGGTCAACTTGTTGATGGAGTATGTCACATGATTGTTTATTGTTACCGCTGAATGCCTGTCACATTGCAGTTTTAAGAAAGCTCTAAGCTCTCCCGGTCCTACTTCAAAGTGGTTTGAATAAGCGTGACCGCTTCGTGTGAAGATTAAGGGTCATTTGGTGCCCTTATATGAGAGTTATGTGTCGTGATGTCGATTACAGATACTACAATCATTCTCATTTCATTTCATGGAAACAGAGGTGCGTCTGCACGTGCTTTCGTCTGGCGCTATTGTTGGTTTTCGACCTGTACCACGTTGAGTGCCCGTCCGCTTCCGTGTGTTACAACTCAAAGAGGAGGCACAGGTTACCATTGCAGGTGCCTACTTGGCTTCTTACCCGGAAAGTTCAGTGAGATTCTGAACTCAATGGCACCATTTTGCGGTATCACTTTCAGGCAGTTTTCGCTTCCGATTTTTTGTTGCGAAGAACATAATGTAGGGCACCGGGAGAAATCCTCTAGTTACTTTGCCACAGTACGTGCACGGCCAGGGCATTTTCCGGTGCTTGGGGCAGTTACGGCGTCGATAGAGTCGCCCACACGTAACGCACTCTCTGTCTGGTATGTGCTGTTATCGCGTAACGCCTAGTATATAAGAAGGCTTCCATTGAACCGTGGATACATCGTTCGCTCTGCTCCCGGTGCGACCAGTCATCGCCATGAACGCTCTGGTGAGTGCTAACACAGTGCCCGTAACGTCTCTATTTTCCCACAGAACGGCAATGAAGAATAGGATAAAGCTTGCCAACATGCATACGTTTGTTATAGTTATTGCAATGTAATAGTAGCTATTGTTATTCTTTAAATTTTTTGAGATTTAGCATTCGATGTTGATGGTTATAACTCTAAAGCTGTTTACACATAAGCAAGTGCTTTATTTTTGCAGTTTATGGGTGCGATCGCATTAGAGTAACCTAATCAAACTATTCCTCGTTTGGCGAACGATTGCGCTTTAAGAGTTAACGTTCTTGGAGTATTTCTAGCATCTAGATGTTTCAATACAGCATTAAGTTTAGATGAATTAGCTTTATTCTATGTATACTGAGACAAAGAGCGGGGAAAGAGCAAAGTTCTTAACACATGGGGTACCTTCCTGGCTGCCTAATTCTCTTCAACGAGCAAAAGAGGATGTAATACGTCACAAAATAATACTCGGCGTAATCATCAAATTGAAAAACGTCAAGCTTACGTAAACTCCCATAACAAAAATGAAGCACAATATTAACAAAATTAACGAGGCACAATAAACTAAACCAATAACGGTTGAGGGCATACTTTATGAGTATATATACTGTCTATCAAATTTATATTGTTGGTGGCTTTTCAAGCCACAAAAATCTGCAAAAGTTGAATACCAGATGTCCTCTCTGTAATTTATAGCAGTTGCCACAGATGTTGTCCATCGAAATATTTGTGTCGGTAGGTATCGTATAAGCGTTATGAAGTGCCACGTGAATTCGTACTTAAAAGGACGTCAAAAATCGAAATTTAGCCTAAAGCTGTAGGTGATAGGTGAAACTAATCAGGTTTGAAGTAGCAGGTACATCGTCTGACATATTTACTCCTCAAACGCAGCCCTTCCTTATGAAATACTCGTTTCTAGTGGTCAGAATATTTAAAATTATTGTTTTGTTTGCACGAATTCTATGTATGTACAAAGGGCGTCGTTTCCTTTACGAAACTATGCTTGTGTTTATAACTCATAGAAAACGCAGTAGATAGCTGGCATGGCTTATTACTTGACGAGGAACATCATGCGCAAATGTTCGAGGGTAAGACCTTCAGAGTGTGGCGTCCATTTGTCACAACATTGGTGGAAGCAATCGGTTGAACTAAGTTTGTAATTAGAATTTTCGGTATAGAATAAGTACTTGACCTTTCTCTCTAAACGGGAACTTGATATTTCAATACACGCAGATCGTTGCAACCCTTCTGTCTGCTGTCTTTGCCATCGCCATGGCTGGTGGGCTTGGATACGGAGGCCTTGGTTACGGAGGCCTTGGTTACGGAGGCCTTGGCTACGGTGGCTATGGAGGATACGGTGGATACGATGGCTACGGCGGTAGCCTTGGATATGGCGGAGGCCTTGGCGGAGTTGGCGTCGGTAGCAGTGTGGCTCTTATTCGTGGTGCGCCTGGGCTATACAAGGCAGTACCTGGTCCAGCATTTCTGGTCAGAACCATCCACCAAGTGAACAGGTTGTCCAGTGGTGGAGCACTAGTCGCGCACTCTGGTCTCGGAGGTGGAGCATATGGCACATACGTTCGTGGCTACGGAGGCGGGTTGGATGGCTACGGAAGTGTTTTGGGATATGGTGGTTACGGTGGATACGGTGGCTACGGTTACAAGGGTTGATTGCAGTTGTTCTCAGTGTGCTAGTTTTCAGAGAGTCACTAAAGGTATTGCAAAGTAACGCATGACGACAAAATGGCTACGCTGTGTCTGGAGCTGAGTCGACCAAACTGCGTGTGCATAATATGCAATGCCTAAATTGAATCAGAGCCGTCGCACTGGGAAAATATTTGCCTTAATCATAGTCATGCAGCTGCTCGACTAAAATCACGTTCATTTTTTTCATTTCTCACGTCAAGAATAAGTATTTGGTGAGCTCATTGGAAAGCAACCGTCGAAGATATTCAACATCTAAAGACAGATTGCTCAACAGTACTTGTGCCCTTACTACTACATCACTGCTTCATCGGTGTTAATAAGTAGTGTTCGCTGCCGAAGATTCATTGTTTAAACCAGTGAGAATGAAATGACACAGCGATGACCATGTGTATGTTGGGATTTTCGAATGTGAATAAATGCCATAATTTTACCCTGAATATTATTGTCTCTGGCCCACCTCCACTGTCACATGGACATGTTCTTTTTTGTTTAGGTCCACATTAAGTGTGATCAATTCAGAACATTTACCAGACAGGTCTTGTTTTAGATGCGGAGCATCTTATACTCGCGCCTTGTAGTGCGCCGTCCGCGCCGTCCGCGCCGTCCACACCGCTTCTCGATCATTCGACAGCTGACGCGCGCGCATGCGCCGTCGCGCCGTCGCCCACTCTTCCACCATCTGTGCATCCCTTCCTCCTCTACACACCGCGCGCGCTTCACTCCTCCACCATCTGTGCACCCTTCCTCCTCTACACACCGCGTTCGACATCTACAATTCTCCTGATTCTCCAGTGGACGCGCATGTGGCGTCGCGCTTCGAGAACATTCAACAGCTGACAGTGCATGCGCCGTCGTGCTGTATATATACTCAAGGTCGGCGCTCGCTCGCTCAGTTGCCGCTCGTCGGTTGGTTTGTACGGCGCGTCGACGTCCAAGGTCGCGGTGAAATGAATTCCAACGAATCCACAAACACAATGATCAACGTCCCTTCGACCAGCGCCGCCCTTTCGCATACGTGTGTACGTGTTCACTCATTTAACACCCCCTCCTACAACCACGTTAACCAATTTAGCCATCGACCCAAGTAAGTCGCAATTTAACACCCCATTTCACAACCACGTTAACCAATTTAGCCATCGACCCAAGTAAGTCGCACTTTAACACCCCGTTAACCAATTATATGGTCCGCATCCTCCTCAGTGTTCCCCCGAGGGAAGCTGCGGGCAATTTTTTGGTCATACATTGCTGCGCAGTTGTTAGAAAAGCGTTTTTTCAGAAACTTTCGTGGTCTGAAAAACAGTTGTGCCATCTCCCTCAGTCCAGGTCAGGTCAGTCATGAAAAATATTCCTGATTTTAGCAAAGTGAGTATGCTCGCTTTGGGTAATTTCAAAAATGAAAAAAAAAATGGCAGCATATCCACGGAGTGAATGATGGAGAGTGGGGCGAAGCATTCGTCCGTCCATGCGTCCGTCTGTGTGACCGTCCATACGTCTGTTCGTGCGCCCGTCCCTGCGTTCGTTCATGCATCCGCCCCTGCGTCCTTTCATGCGTCCATCCATGCATCTGTCTGTGTGTCCGTTCGTCCATCTATTCAACACTCCAAGTCCCACCATCTCGCATCTTTTATCATATATTCCCCATATAGAAGCACCGCCATTCAGTGGACATTCCAAGGACTAAACGAGAGGTGGCACACGCACACTTTCTTACGACTTGCGCTTCGGGTCTACTTCTCACCTTCAACCACCTTGAGTTATATACTAGTTCACTGTATTCATGGAATTGCGGCCCAATGCTCGCTAAACCTTTCTAAAACCATGGAGGTTACGCCCAGTGAGTATAACGTAGCAGCCCTTTCTTGTCAGATAGTGCTCAATGTACATGCCAATGGCTGCTAATGTGAAATTGGAGACAGGCGGATTCAGCTTTTAATTTCTTACGGCTTGCGCTTCGTATCTGCTTCCCCCCTTCAACCACCTCGAATTCATTCATGGTATATACTAGTTCATTGTATTCATGACCCTGCGGCTCAACGCTCGCTAAACCTTTCTAAAACTAACGAGGTTACACCCAGCGAGTATAATGTAGCAACCCTCTCTTGTCCGATAGTGCTCAATGTACATGCCAATGGCTGCTAATGGGGATTGCAGCGTGCGCGTTGACTAAAAGCCGAATGCTCCTGTCTCTCATTCCCCATTAGCAGCCATTGGCATGCACATTGAGCAGTATTTTTTATTGTTAAACACGCACAGAAGAAATCTCTCACCAGCACCACTTTGGAGGTCAAATGTTATACCTATTTCGGGTATGTGCCACCAGTGGTTACGTACTACGAGGGACGCACAAGCCACACTATAAGGAGCTTCGTCCCTAAAAACATGTTTGATTCCTGCGTCATAGGAATCGGTACAACACGAAAGCAAAACGTCTCCTGAAAAAATTAGTGTGATGTTTCCTCTGCATTAGTATCAGAGAGCTTGCGCAATGCCTATTGGTGTTTTACAGCTATGACACCACTTAACGACACCTAATCATACATCCCCATTCCAGCAACTAAAATCTTTCAATAATGATTAAACAGCCCCTTGTGGTCCTAGAGAAAGCTATCTGAGTGCCAGAAGAGAGAGAGAGAAACTTTTTAGTCGAATATATCAGGTGGGGCTCTCGGTCCAGAGCTCCAACAGCCACTGTCGCTTCCCGTGCCCGATGAACCAGCGCCCGCTCGGTCTTCAGTCACACAGCATGGCCTCCCAGTCTTGCAGGGTAGGAACAAAAGAGGAGTTGTTAGCAGAGCTCCTGGCAGGCGGACGCTGACATTCCAGTGCTACGTGAAATAACGTCGGGACTGCTCCGCAGCCCGGACATTCGTCAGGGTAAGAAGGTGGGCTGGAGGATATGAAAGAAATAGAGGTTCGGGAATGTGTTGACCTGCAGCCGACGCACCGCAGTTGCATTCTCTCGTGTTAGTGTGTCGTGGGGTGGAGGGTACCGAATGAGTTCCCATGTATAATAATCGACAGTATCTCGATATCCTATCTCAATATCCTGTTTGTGTCCTCCTCATTTGAATTGGACAGCTCATTCTCCGAATCCTAGTGAGTGAGTGCTTGGGTAGCTGCATGTACGCAGTCATGACCGGGCAGAGAGGCGTGCCCAGGCATCCAGACCAGACAGAACTTATGCGGTTCCGACAGGACGGCAATCCTATGGTTGCAGTCCTGTCTGTTAGAAAGGCCTTCACATAGTCGTAAACTCGTCGTCCGCACCACGTCGACGCGAGATTTTTCAGTATTTGCTCATGCGAGGCGTTGTCAAATGCACTGATGTCCAAGGCAAGCAGAGCTCTAGTTTGCGCAGAACTTTCCCGGTTCATTACTTCCTCTTTCAATTGGAGAAGTATGTCTTGCGCGGACACGTGGGTACGGTACTCGAGCAGTGTGTATGGGAAAGAAAAAAATCTGTGGGCTTCAAGGTATGATTGCAGCTTTTGGAGGACAACGTGCTCCAATAATTAACAAAGCAAGAAGCCAACAAAATCGGTTGTAGGTTTTCATGTTCTAGGAGTTTGTACGGATTACTGTTATTTCGGCATGTCTCCATTTCTGGGGTAACGTTCCGGATTGCCAGTGAGTGTTGTAAAAATCTGTGAGCTGTTGTAGATCATCATTGAGGTTCCGAATGATATAGGTATTCGATGTTGTCTTTACCTTGTGCTGTGTGGCGCTTGATATTCAGAAGAGCAGCTCGAACTTCATGCACAGTGATATTTGCATCCAGCGGTGTTGATTCTGTATATGAATGGTTTGGATACTTTGGCTAAGGGCCTGCAGCGATGCACTTTTCCTGAAGCGCCTGTACGATACCGTTGTGATCCACGGCATGGTTGTGAATAAGTATTTGGATGGTACCGCTCCTGTACGACTTTGTTATTTTCGAGTCAACATGAGCTCTTAGTATGTCCCACGTGCGTGCAGTGCTTATCTTTCCATTTAGTGAGAGACTAGGAGTTATTATAATTGTTCTTCGTGAGCTCTGTGGCGTATTGTTGGGCTTGCAACGTGGGTTGAGCAATGCGAAGTCTAAGTTATCGAATGTGCCTCTGCATACGCCAGCTTTTTATGAGGCTTCTGTGCGCGTCTCGCTGGTGTAGAAAGTGCCTGTCTACATCTGGAATCACGGTGGGAGTGCTTATACGCTTCGTGATTTTAAAGACGATAGTCTTCTTTGGGGACCTTCGACGGAAAAATTTTGGTCTGTGTGTGTGTCGGTCTGTACATTTGCCTGTTTGTCTACTCTTAACAGCACCAGGTACTTGAAACGGCCGACCCCATCCGCAGTGCCCACCAATGTTGCTAAATATTTAGCGTTCATACTTGTGCTATTGTCAATTAAAAATAAATTATTGCACATGTCTGGGGCACCATAATAACATGTATATATTCTGCATGTGCGTTTTTTCCTAGAAAAGGCATACATAGGTAATTTTAAGGACCACAGCGCTTATCACGCTGCGCTGACCATGCAACGCTTGCACGAAAATGTGAGTGTTTCCAACGCTTTGCTAAGACGAGGCGGTTGTAGCACCTACCCATCGCCTTGCGTTCTACACCTTATCACCCCTGAGACGGGCGCACACACCCGTCTCAGAGCCACACGCTTCGTTTTCCAAGAAAACTGCCAGATGGCGCTCATGTCTCACGTGTGACGTGACTTGATGCACTCGTTTGCCTCCGTTGCAGGCTCGAGGCAGCGGAGGCAAACGCAGCGCCTCCAGAATACCATTCACTGATTTTCTTGCGCAGAACATCAAATAAATGTTTTGTTCACTCTCTCGACACGCAAGACTATCGTCTTTCGACGACATTTGCAGAATAACATGCAGATACGGGGCCAATTTTTTTCTCGGTCACATTGCAGGCACTGTAGCCATTCTTTGAAAGGTGTCTCAGTGTTGTCAGTTTGAGCGCGCTGTTTCCTCCTCGTCATCATCATAATCATCATCATCATCTCATCATCATCACCACCACCACCACCATCATCATCATCAGCCTGACTACGTCCACTGCAGGACAAAGGCCTTTTCTATGTTCCACCAGTTATCCCGGTCCTGTGCTTGCTGCTGCCAATTTATACCCGCAAACTTCTTGATCTCATCTGCCCACCTAACCTTCTGTCTCCCCCTAACACGCTTGCCTTCTTTGGGAATCCAGTTAGTTACCCTTAATGACCAGCGGTTATCCTGTTTACGTGCTACATGCCCAGCCCATGTCTATTTTCTCTTCTTGATTTCAACTATGATATCCTTAACCCCCGTTTGTTCCCTAATCCACTCTGCTCTCTTCTTGTCTCTTAAGGTTACACCTACCGTTTTTTTCCATTCTCGCTGCGTCGTCCTCAATTTAAGCTAAACCCTCTTTGCAA